TATGTGATGGTGAAATTCTTCCTTCTCAAAGCCTCGTGTCAGGGGATGGCAATGCCTGGAACATCATGTGGAGGGACGGGCTGGCGGCTGAGCAAAGGGGCAGACCTCTTAAGGCCTCCCTCTTAAGGGACAGGCCGGATGGCACTGTTGGTGTTTCACCTACTTTCATTCCCCAAACTTCCATAAAGCTTTGTCCCAAGGAACAGCCTGTGAAGAATTCTCATTCCTATCTTAGGAGAGAGGAGCAAAAGGAGAGTTCCTCAGGGTCAGAGGTGTGGCCGCAGTCACTGGAGACACCGGAGGAGGCAGCTGTGACCGGCAGAACACTTCTGGCCCAGTGGTGGCGGCCAAGAGGCTGCAGTGGAAAGGATGGGGGTCTCATCCTGAGCACAGCTAAGGTGCCATCTTGGAATGATGCTCAGGGAACCCCTGGGAGACGGGTTGAGGGGCCGTTCCCTTCCCTGCGATGGTCATGGGAGGCCTAGGTCATCATCATCTGTGTATTCAAGAAAATGTGCCCTGAATTTAAACTCACTGGTGGTGAGACCTGGACCAGGACTTTCCAGAACCACAATTCTCTTGCTAATTCCCCAGTGGTTTGATACAAGCACAGCTTAGAAACCTAAACGTTAAGGGGGCCCAAACAGATATTTTGCACACCCGCAGGAGCATGATCCTCAGAATGTCAATTACAGGAAGGATTCTGTTAGTGCCTACACTGCCTGTCTCTAAAAATGCCTTGAGATTACATCTACTGTGCCTTTTCTCTTTTTTTCCTGTTTTAACTAAATTCTAGACATTCTGTCATTCTATCCCTGCATAATTCCATATGCATTAAAAAGGAAATTTTCTTACATAACTAAAATGCCGTTATCACCACTAACAAAATTATCAATAATTTCTTGGTACCATCTAAGCCTATATTCAAATTTCCCCGATTAATGTGACATGTTACCCTCATTCATCACATGAAAAAGGATGCTTCTGTTTAAAAAGAAACAGCTATGAACTATTTTTATGTCAGTGGAGGCTTTCATGGCAGAGGTTTTTTTTTTTTTTTTTTTTTTTTTTTTTTTTTTTTTTTTTTAAATTTTCCTACATGTTAATCCATCAAGAGAGTTTCCTTTATGCAGAAGCACAGATTACTAATCGTAGGTCTCAATTTTGTTTCTCCCTCTAATGTGTGTGTCCTTAGGACATCCATTTAACTCTCCCCAGCTTCCAACAAGCATCTTTCTTTGTCCTAATAAGTGTATAAAATAAGCTAATGGTCTGCTGCATTTATAAAGGCTTCTGAAATGTGAAAACTGTTCTTCCTGTGCATTTCCACAGCCATCCTCCACTCCTGGCTCTGTGCTGAACTGGGGAGGCAGAGGACCACCGCAGGGTTTGGAGAAAGGACCACACACCACGGAAAAGGTGGTGCAGAGCTACAGGTGCTGGGAACAGAGCTGTGGGACACAGAGCAGAACCCATCCCACTCTGGGAGACAGTGGGAGAGGGGGAAAAGGAGAGAAGGAGAGGGAGAGAGAGAGGGAGGAAGAGTGAAAGAAAATGCAAAACCAACCAAACAAAAATAACAAACAAAAGGGTGCCTGGGTGGCTCAGTTGGTTAAGCATCTGACTTTGGCTCAGGTCACGATCTCCAGGTTCTTGAGTTCAAGCCCCGCCTCAGGCTCTGTGCTGACAGCTCGGAGCCTGGAGCCTGCTTCACATTCTGTGTCTGCCTCTCTCTCTGACCCTCCCCCGCTCATGTTCTGTCTCTCAAATATAAGAAATAAAACAAAAAAAATAAGTTTTTAAGAAAACAAACACGTATTCACCTTGAAAATGTAAAGGAAGGGCAATGAGTCATGTTTTCTTACTATCTGCTATCTTACTATCTTACTAACTGCTATTAACTATTTGGTTTTCATCCCAACTTTTAAAAATGCACATAAATTTTAATAAAATTTGGATTGTATACAACATCCTATTGTGTAATTTGTTTTATTTTCCTATTTTACACCGTGTTAGAACATATCCACATGTCATTAAATGTTTCCAAGACAAGGTTTTTAATAGTTGTAGACTCATAGCTTAGGTGTATAACTTCCAGTGAGCCTACTTATAATTTACCACCATTATAAAAGTAATGCTTTTATGAACATCCTTGTACCTAAATCTTTGAACATATCTGATTATTTACAAGAAATTCTGAGAAGCAGAATTACAAAGTAGAGAGATCAGAACATGTTCCAAGTTGCCCCCCACCAAATTTGTTCCAAACTGAAAATGTATGAATGAGCCTGTTTTCCCACAACCTTGCCCGCGCTAGTCATATTACCTTAATCTGACAATTTAAAACATGAATATGAGATCACTGTTCCCATCCTGCTTTGTTCATGTCCCTTGAATCTTCTGACTATTTTGTTGCTCAGGACAACAGAATGGGGTAGCGGTTCTGCGCTCTTTTGCTCTTAATTGCCAGCGTTTGGTAAAGGAAAAATGTAGAAATGTTAAGGGGGCGCCTGGGTGGCTCAGTTGGTTAAATGTCCGACTTTGGCTCAGGTCATGATCTCAAGGTTCCTGAGTTCAAGCCCTGCTTTGGGCTCTGTGTTGACAGCTCAGAGCCTGGAGCCTGCTTCAGATTCTATGTCTCCCTCTCTCTCTGCCCCTCCCTGCTTGTGCTCTCTCAAAAATAGACAAACATTTAAAAACATTTTTTTTTTTAATGTCCAGACCTGTGATACAGCTTGAAAAAGCAGCTGGGCTACGTGGTGAGCAAAGTGCTGAGGGTTGCAAATTATTTTCCTAGATTATCTGCAAAGCTGAGCTAGCACACAAAACAGCCCGACTGCAAAAATACCACTAGATGTTGACTGCCAAAACTGATACATATTTCAAACATCACATATTATACTAGTATATTCACACACGTATTTTTACCTCTTCTTCTGAAACCCGGTTTAACGCACGAGTTTTGGATTTGCTGCCGAATTTGGATCAACTTTCCATACATTCCTCCACAGACCCAAGTTTTAAGTGGTATTGATCATCAAGTGATTTACGTACCTTGTACAAGTGCATGCCAAGTATAGTATTATATGTTTAACTGTGAATGTTTTTCTTGGGAGAGAGTCCAAAGCTCTCATCATCTTTTCAAAGGAGCCTCAGAAGAGATTTAGAATTTTGAGGCTGAGAAAATTCTAAGGGGTGATAAAGGCAACATCTACTGGGCCAGCAGGTAAATGAGCGCCATGGACAAGGTGTCAGATGATAGGGTAGGGGGGCCGCGGTATCCTCAAACGTATTAGCTTCAAACTAAATACAGTAGCTGTCTCTTAGCTCCAGATCACTGTTGGTCTTGGGGCGGGGTGGGGGGGGGTACATGGGTTCAGTGTTTTGTGATCTTAATTCTTTTCAGAGGAAGCCAGAAATCCAGATGCCTACATGAAATCTTGCAAGTTTCAGATGCTCACACTAACTTAAAGTGGAACAGATGAACAATACATGGTACAACACACTGGCCTGCTGATTTGGCCCTCAGGCTGCAGGGCCTAAAAGAAGCCGGGCGTTTCAAAACACAATTAAACACATACATACAAATAATTAAACGCTCTTTTTAGGCTGGTAATAAGCCAAGAACACCCAGACCAGGAGATTCTAATGTGACTGGAGTTTGGCACTTGGAAAGTTCAAAAGCCAGATCTATAGCTGGGCACAGCAGATCCTGCCCCCTGCCCCCACCCAAGGCTAACATCCAGGGCTCCCCATAGATAAAAGCCCCAGGTCGTCGTAGTGGCAGTGGGGAAAAATGTTCTGGAAAAGGACACGTCAAGATTCCTAACTGTGCGGTTACATAAAACCTGAGTTTTTTCAAGCAGACAATACTAGTGAGGGGCGGGCCACATTTTACCTATTGCCAGAACGAAGGTAAGTACGAAGAGACTCTGGAATGCACTGAGAAGCTCACCGCACCCACACAAATGACATTTCTGTAAGCCAAATTACTCTCCACCTCCAGCGGGAAGCCTGCTCTTTAGAGGGACCTTGCAAGAGAATGGCCACTAAGGGAGAAAGCATTTCCAAAGCCAACTGTGTCACAAGTTCAGATGTGAAAATGCCAGGCTGTTAAAATGCGGTGCAAACCCATAATGAAACGTTTTCCGCAGCACGCGGCTGTGAGTTTTCAAGGGCAGGTATGCGGAGGAGTAGAAGCCCAGCGGGGAAGGCGGAGAGACTCCAAGGGCAGCTGCCCAGGGTGGGTGGGGGGGCTAGGACGGCTGCAGGTGGGAAACAGATGAGTGAACTACCGAAAACAATTTCAAAACTGACAACCACATGTCGCCTGGGGACAATGGTTGACATTTCAGTGGCCAAATATGGTGTTTTTTTTGTTTTGTTTTGTTTTTGTTTTACTCCTGTGTCCTGGATAGAGTGTTATTTATAGTATGTTTGAAAATGGCATCTTGCGGGGCACCTGGGTGGCTTAGGCGGTTGAGCGTCTGACTTCGGCTCAGATCATGATCTCACAGTTCGGCTGAGCGTCTGCTCCACAATCGGCTTCCTCTGCTGTTGGGGCCAGGAGCTCGCCTTGTATCCTTTATCTCTCTCTTCTCTTCCCTGTTCTCCCCCGCCTCAATTCCCCCCCTCAAAAATAATGAATAAACATTAAAAAAAAAAGAAAAGAAAAAAGAAAATGGCATCTTCCTCTTCACAAGACAATGCTAATGGCTGGCCACAAAATGAAGCTGTAGAGCTGGGTGGTGGACGTGCAAGCTCCTCTAGGTAGAGCAGTGGCACTTTGTGAGTAATGAAATATTCCCACTCAAGCCAATATATACTTTCCAAGCAAGAGAGAGAGAGAGAGAGAGAGAGAGAGAGAGAGAGAGAGAGAGTGTGTGTGTGATGCGTGAGATACATCAAATGCATTTCAATTTTTTTCATAATTAGAAAAGCACAACTTAAGAGACAGCTCCTTAAATAATCACAGAGAACCATCAGTTTTCTCAAGGTACCTGTAATCATGCTGGATATAATTAACGGCAAAATGATGAGTTTCAGCATCCTCATTAGAATTTCCCCGGGAAAAGCAAAGTAGAACTTCTCCAGACTAGACAGCTTGCTGTATTCTCGAACCAAGACGCCGATGGCAATCCCTAAGAGAAACAAGATCAGAAAAAAGAAAAGAGGAATAGCATTGAGTTCTCCTGTATGCATTTCTATGGAAAAATACCCGCCAAAGACCCCCACATTTTAATGGCATGAAAAATAGTTTAGATGATCTTCCATGAGTCTGGAAATTTGAGTCTCAAAAAACAAACATTTTAACGAATAAAAAGTACACATTTATTCCGCAATTCTGTAAAATATATTCTTCACTTGAAAGCTTTTGGTTTTCTCTCTTTCCTCCTTCAATTATGTTTATTATAATGACAAAACGTCCCAAATCCTTCTGGGCAGGAAACGAAATTCATCATTTTACTCAACCCAATATAATTATTTTGTTTTTACACACTCCCCTTATTCTTGGTCCACCTTAGGTATTTTACATTTTATTTATTTGTTTTTTAAAGTAATCTCTTCCGCCAACCAGGGGCTCAAACTCATGACCCTGAGATCAAGACTCACATGCTCTACTAACTCAGCCAGCGAGGCAGCTTAGGTGTCCTAGGTTTTATAGTTTACATACCAGTGTTCATTTTTCTCATTTCCTCATATATACTCTTCTCATGGTAGTTTTTATGATACTCTTTGTTTATGCATCTTCTGTAATAGCATAATGTTCTCTTGGTTTGATATATTCACACATTGTTGAACAAATGTGTTGTCTAAGGCTCTCTGAATCCCTTTTAGTTATGTCTACATTTTTTTTTTTAACATTTATTCATTTCTAAGAGACAGAGAGAGACAGAGCATGAGTGGGGGAGGGCAGAGAGAGGGA